GTTTTTTTTAAAGTCTTTATATTTGATTTATTGTAATTTTTACTTCATATAATTTTACTTATGTTCTTTATTGATTGTAGTAATAAACTAGTAAATAATGATAGTTTAGAAAAATCATTAATAGGGTGTAAAAATTTTAAAGTCATTCGGAATAATAAAATCATATCGAATAAGCTCTAACATATTATTTAAAATTCTGGTTTTATGTCCTAGTTTAGAAAGATTAGTAATTATTCATTGCTCTCAAATAAATAAAGAATCAATAGAAAAAATGAAAATATCACACCCATTACTTAAAATCGAGACGAAGAATGCTCTCAGGTGGTAGTTCAACACCATCATTAACAAGTAAGAGTTCCTCCCTAACAAATCTACGTCCAGGTCCATCAAATAACTTATAAAGGACAGGTTGATTTTGTTGTACACGAACTTCTCCATGTTATAAACTTCAACAAATCCGTACTTCTTCAAATTCACTAGGTTTAAGAAGGTAACGGACATTATCATTATAGGATAAACATGGTTCATCATATCTACAGGAGGATTTAGTATAAACTTTCTTCATTTTACAGCTTTTGCAGGACCATATCAATTAACCTCATAACAAAATTATTAATATCTTCAACAATTACTATAGGTCACCCAAGCAAGAGAGTTTCCTAACGTATGTAATGATAACAAGTCATGAGCATCCTGTATACGAAATAATCTCCTAAGGTAAGATTATACCTTTCAACAATACCAACAAAACGTTTAGATGTAACCTTCGAATTTCTACACCATGTCTTTTCATTAATCGTTCACAATCACCCTTAAATTCAGACGCCTTATCTGTGACCAAGAATTTCGGCCATACAAGAGAGCAATCAGGATCACTTTAATAAGGATATTTTTTTTTTTACACAAACACTTTCTAATTTTTAAAACATGGTCGAGATTAATATCAATTATAAATTAGAAAGTGCGATGTCTCAAAGTACATCACTAAGAAAAGAATTTATTTTGTTGGCTTGTTGCGACGTAATACGGAAAATAAATTAATAAGCATAGTAAAATCGGTACACGGAAAAAATGGTTTTATCATTACTCATTAGATTGCATTCTTACTTCTTAGGGTACTTGTTAAAAAAAGGAGTAATTTTTCGTACGACTATCGATCAAATAAGACGCAGTAACTCCGTTCGATGTAACGTTTGCCTAACGCGTTCGTTTAGATGTATCGCAGTTTAAAAAGTGTTGACGAAAAAATCTTTGTAGTCTGGACAAGGCATTTCGCAATTAAGGTATGAATGAAATGTATTTTTTTCGTTGTGGCTGTGCATTTGCAAGAAAGCGACTCAGAGCTAATAGTAACTATTTTTTTTTTTGTTCAGTAATTCGAGAGGACCTTATTAGGCGGAGAAACCTTATTTTTCAAAAGCTTAAATAATCAAATCACTCTTCTTGTGGGTTCATAATAATGTTGTTTCCTCGGTGAATAACTCCGATAATTCGCGCTTCCTATTTTCCCTTCTTTCGTTGATTATTCTACTATCATAAACTTTCAACGAGTTTTGCTAAGATAAAAATCGTAGTATTGAGAGCTGACTGTAATTAGATGGTTTCTATAATTGTTTAGTCGTATAGATATTTGATATGTTAAAATACTAGTTTACTGTACATTTAAGTTCAAATTGTGATTTAAAACCGCTGATTTCAAACCCAAAGTTTATAAACGATTCGGGTTGTTGTCCAAACTGTTTAACTTTTAACGGGTCGGTTTTCTGTCCAAGCAGACAGTTTTTGAATTAAATCGACGGTTTGGACTGAATTGAATCGATTCCATTGATTTCATCTCTAATTATTCTCTTCCAATATCGAAATAATTCACTTAACTCTATAATAATTTTTAAAACTTTGAATAATTACTTTATACTCGTTGATTTTCTAGATTTTGTACAATTAATCATATAGAACTATAATTATGTGCGTTATAAAAATTTGTGAAACTCTATTAATTATAAACTATTTTTTTTTTTTTTTCACTTTTTCATTCATTAAATATTCAACTCAAACTTTTTTTAATAATTTTCATTATAAATAAAATTTCAACTTTCTATAAATTCGACTTTCCATAAAATTAATCAAAATAATAGAAAAATTCATCATTTTAAGAAGTAAGAAAATAAACAATTCGTAAATGTAATACATATATATACATATACATATACATATATCTATAACTAGTATATACAATATAAATACAGTATACATATACTATATATCGTATAATCTACAATTTACCAGGTATAAAAAAAAAAAAAAAAAAAAAAAATGTATGATCATGCAAATGTTAGGTTGCATCGATTGATGGGCTGAAACAAAACAAATAATAAATAAGTTTATCTAATATCGGGAAATTTTTTATTTACTGCAAGTGAAGTATAAAACTTTTATGGAAATTTCTCGGAAAAATAAAATTATATTCCTATTTTATTTTTTTTTGTTTTTTTTTTGTTTCAAAGTACCAATGTGAATCAGTATGTTAATCTGTGAAATATTTGTTAATCTTGTGGAATCTGTAAAATCTGTGGAATGATGTGAATCTGTGAAATAAATGTGAATCTGAGAATCCGTTAAAAGAATATTTTTTTTTTTTCTTATCAATGCATTGAATGAACGCACGACTTCTATTTTAATGTTGTGCAATAACTTTATTATTTGGCCTTAATTTGGTAATTAAATAAGTTTAAACGTGGTCTGTCGATAAATGTGACGATTGCAAGCATGCATGGGTAACTTGACCAAAGATCTGAGTGTTACTTGATATATATATATATGAAGATTATAATTGGGATCCAAATTATTGGCAATAATTCAAAATAATAGACGGTCAAAATATAATAGGCAATCAAAAAATAATTGGATGGTTAAAAATAATTGAGCGTTTAAAAATAATTTTAAGAGTAATTCGACAGTTAAGAATAATTTGACAGTTAAGGGTAATTTGACAGTTAAGAGTAATTTTGACAATTTGATAGTTAAGAATAATTTAGGATTTTACACATTATTTGCTTAAATTCGAATTAGACCGTTTCTATAAACAATGTCGGGATGATCGCATATTTTTTTTCGAAATACTTATTAGGATTCTGAACAATGAACAAATGGGAACACAAGATGGCAAATTACGAGATCATTTTTCTATCTCTTGGTCAATTGTGGCTTGAAATCCATATATACGTAAATTGCATTATTGAATTTTCGAGGAAATTTTTCTGTTATAATATTATTCTGCATATTTTAAATTTATCTGTTATACTACTACTATTATTATTAATAATTGTATAATTAATTAATTAAGTCGTTTACGCTTACAAAATGAATATATTATGGTCGAAATTCATTTACAAGTTCGTAGATAATGGAATTGATATTTTGTCACATTACTGTCACATTACAGTAAATGAATGGTTCAAAGAAAGCATTTTTATGATTATCGCTTTTAAAAATTTAATCCAAAAGATATTATAAAGTGGATAATGGATCCGCAATGAAAAATTCATTGAATTATATTATAATTCATTTGAACTTGGACCTCAATTGAACTTATTATTCTTTATATATTAAGATTTAAAATATTTTTGGGCCTTTCATGACTTCATGACGTACAGTAATATTGCGATACCGTAATAAAGTACATACTTTTATAATTTATTTTTCTTTTAACGGTCAATTCTTTTAACGGTCAAAAAATTTCATAATAAGGCTGGTTCCTCTATTCACTTAAATTTGAAAAAAAAAGAAATTTTAAAACATTATATAAAAAAGATATTGTACTGTACGTACACTTTTTAGTCTTGTACATATAAAGTATAAGTTATATTATGCATGTAAAGTTTTTCTCGTGCATACCATACAGTGTTAAAGTATCAAAGAACGTCATGTTAGAACATATTTTTAAAAATTATGAAATCATAATAATTCAAATAATTTTTGAACCTTTTTACAATCAAAATGAACGTATTTTAAATTTTTTTTTTTAAAAAAAAAAAATAATAATAAAGAATTCATTATTATCAAACACAAAAAATATTATTATTAAAAAAGATGTAGATGTTTAAAGAAACTGGGGAGGAAAACGTAAAATATTTCGTGTTACATAATACATGTTTATTCCCTGTTATTTCAAATCTATTTAGTACTATTATAGTTTAACTAGAAATTAATCGTAACATCAATAATCATTATAATGGAAATTTATTGTTCATCATACATATCATACATAGAGGGTTCATATTATTTTTGGGGTGTATACAATTTTTTAAGGGTGAATTTTATATTAGAACGGGGTTTTATTTTTGTTTTGTTTGAAAGTTTTGGTCTTTTGAAAAAAAAAAAAAAAAAAAAAAAAAAAAATTTTTTTTTTTTTNTCTTATGAGATTAGCAATCAAATAGCAAATGAAAATGAACACGCAAACGGAGTAATGATGTTAGGATATTACTATTTTAGTGAATTGATAAACAAAAAGCGTTGAGAATTGTATCAAATAGCTGCAAATTGAAGAAATAATGCAATCCAACACGATCTTGCTCTCATGTATGAAAATGGAGAGAGCGTTGGTAAAGAATTAATAAAGTTTTTTATTTTAGAAGTCGACCGAAGGAGGTTACTCTAATAGCCCTATAAAACAATTTTTCAGAAAATGATCACGTGTCTGAGTTTCTTCAGAATAAAAACTAGAAAAATGATCATTTATCGGAGTTTTTTCCAGAATTTTTTTATAGGGATGGAATAACAAGATTGGGACATTATTATAATGGTATCGGAACTAACATTAATGAACAAATAGCATTCGAATTATATCTGAAGGCGGAAATGTGATAGCTCAATACAATCCAGCTCTTATTGTCCGAGGCGTAAGCGTAGGGCACTATGCGTTTAAATACCAATCATATTCTAGATTTCTAGTATTTCGTGTGATTTGTGAAAGATATAATAATTCTGTTGAATATGGGACAAAAAAATTAAAAAAAAATAAGAATATACGTCATCTCGATAAGCAGCAATCAGAATCCAGAGTCTAAAAACATGTCGCCGTCGTTATATCGAGAATCTCCGTATATTTATATATATTTTTTTAATACTAATTTCATCAAATCCCCATTTGTAAATTCTATTCCATTCATTATCATTAATCCCGTTTTGATTTTTAATAATGAAATATCTGTACCAGCAAATATTTTCTTTTTCTATATAAAAAAGAATTTTTGAGATTGTAATTGTTTCTTTCCCGGTTTTTTTTTTTAGTTTATTAACGCGTCTTTTTTATAATCCGACACGTTCTAATTCAACATTTTCAGATTTACATTTTTCATAACTACCAATTAATTCACCACCTCTTAATTGTTTAACTACAGAAATAGGAGCACCAGGACCAAAATTTCTAGCCAATTTATATTTAAATAAATCTTTTGAACCTTCAGAAATTTCACCACCAAAATTAATTTCTAATTTACATTGTCCATTAGCAGCAATAGTAGGATACCAAATGTGACGTAAATTATCATCATTAGCAATAAATGGATTATTTGTAAAATTGGAAGTGGTATAAGGACCCAAGTAATCACCATTTTTGGTAAAGAAGATTTCATTTGTTCCAGGTTTATAACCGCATCCTATCGTATCCCCAACAGTATAAGATAAAGCATATTCTTTACCAGAATTCATATCATTATGATATAAAGAACCATTATTTGATTGATAACCAACAGAATGTTTATTCCATCCTGGTAATCTAAAGTAAGGATATGGTTTTGTAGATAAACCGACAGAAATAATTGTATCAACATCTGTAGCTTTTGATAAAACTGTAACTTCAAAATAATGAATCACTTCTTCACGAATAGTTGGAGGTTTAATGGCATTACTACTATTTCTTTTAATATGAGTACTAGAATTTTTAACACTGTTTAATCTATCAGCAGGGGTAGAAATACTAATACTATTTCTTCTAACTGAAGTAGATTTTGGAACGAAGAAAGGATAATTTGCTTGTACACAAACATCATTAGTTGTACTACTCCATTTTCTTGTATTAATTTCAACCAATTTACCATAATTAGTTATTTGAACCACACCACTTTCTTCAACTACATTATTTTCCACGAGAAATTTCCAAGAAGAATAAGGATTTAAAGTAATATTTTCATGAACTTTTAATATAGAATGAATTTCCGCTTGAGTAGGTAAAACATCTTTTGGAGGATTCTTAATCAAAAAATCCAAAGCTCTTTCCGTTAAATCTTTTTTTGGAATTGTTTCATTTAAAGTTAAAGTAACATTAGGAGTTGAAGAAGGATCATAAACATAAGGAGGAGGAGTTATAACATTATTTAAACCACTACTTTTCATTATTTTTGAATTATCATCATCAAAATGTACAGATTGTAAAGAATCATTATCAAAATTATAAAATTTCTTTTTAAATCCAAATATATCCTTTCTTAAATTGTTATTATTAGAATAAACATCGGTTATCCAATTATTTTCCAAATCCAATTCATCAACTTTAGTAGTACTTGTAACTGTAGTATCAGTATTATCACTATTTGTTTGTCTAATTATAGTAGTAGTAATATTTTTACATAAATCAACTTTTACTTGTTGTTTTCTTTTACGAATAGAACAAATACAACCTACTACCATTATTAATAAAAGTAACATGAAAAATATAAAAGTGATCAAAAATTTCAATGAAATTCCACCGGTACTATTATAATCTCCATCCATATCATTACCATTACCAGGGTTTTGTGAAGATATTAATGATGAATTAATCAAGACGAGAATTAATGATAAAATTATTCGATACATTTTTTTCTTTTTTTTTTACTGCGGGATGTATATATATTACAGGGGAGGAGGGGGGATTTGAAAAAAATTTTTTTTTTTAGAAGTTGAAGTTTAAAAAAAGAATAATTTTATTTTTTTTTTCTTTTTCTCCAAATCCGTACTTTTTTTTGTTTCCTACTCCTCATTTCATATTCTTTATATACTTTTCTTTTTTACGTTTCAAAAAAAAAAAATTTTTTTTTTTTTGCGTTTCATTTTAACAATAAAAAAAGAAGAAGAAACACGTAATACGTGTATCTTACATCAATAATTGCATGAACATATATATTTTATTATTATATTATTATATTATTATATTATTATACTATTATTATTATATATATATATATATATTTTTTTTTTATTATTTTTTTTCATTATTATAAAAATATTTATTTTATTTTATTTATTTATTTATTTATTTTTTATTGTCATTATGCATCCTGAACTTTAAATCTATTATTATGAATACTTTTTTATTTGTAATAAAAATAATAAAAATATGATACAAATAATAAAAGGAATCCGCAATCAAATATTTTCATATGGAAAAGATATTCAAAAAAAAATGCAATGCAGGAGATGCATTATCCGCATTATCCGCCAGTTTCCTCCTTAAATATAATAAAATAATAATATATAAATGTGTAAATCATATATATTTTTAAACAATGACTCCCTTTTTTGTCTGAAAAAGGAACAATGTTTATGCCAGTGCATAATTCTCGTGTAACGACCAAAAAGATCTCAGCCCAAGCCTTAAATAGTTATTTAGTAGGTAACTCGAACAAGATTAAATTTGGGTTGTTTCAAATGTAAGAAAAAAATTTTTTTTTTTTTTTTAGTATTTTATTATTACCTTAATTAATATTATTCGAGAAATTCATAGTGTCACACCACATTTTCTAAATTAATGTTTAGAATGATATATTATACTTTTAGATATTTATTTCATTCTTTCTTACCTTCTTAATTTATCGAGTATGAAAAACTTTTAAGAAGGAATTGATTAGATTTTTGATTTTTATGCATCTAACTATGAACAAAAAAGGTATCTTGGCATCATTTGATTTCTATCAAAAGCTAACGTTTTTGCGAATGGGAATTGGCACGGGGGATATGCAGGTATAATGTGACATGATGATCATTTCCCTTATGGATCTACAAATCTAAAACTGAAAAATAATTTATTATAATCCCTAATATGTTTCAAATAAATGTCTCAGATTTATTGTATAACCGTTTCAAGAGTTAAGAGTTTAGGAATTAATTTTGTGAAAAATTAAATTTTGAATTTTTTTAGTCAT